TCCTTCTTGCTTTTGATCATATCGATTGCCTAAGCTGACACCACTTGTAATTTCCAGTTTATGTGGCACTCATGGAGTTTTCACTCCTTCATATTTGTTGTTCTATTTATCTAATATTTACAAGCATTATTTGTTGTTGTGTAGTCGGATTTACCAATATTGTATTTGTTGGAAACATTTTTACTTCTAGATTATGTAGGTTGTACTTTATTATTTCCAACACCACGACAATCGTATTACAGAGTTAGAAAGGACAGAATAACTACTCATTAGATTAAGTTAGCTAAAAAAAAAAAAAGGTATGTAATTAATATTTTAACATAGTGAGAAAAATATTTACTTAAAATAACCCAAATGTGAGCTGCTGCTTACACAAAAATGCGATTTGCAGACCATGTCGTATTGGGAAAGAAAGGGTTTGCCCTGCTGCATTAATAATGTCAAGTTACTCAACATATGTTTGATTTTTAATTATTTTTTTAAATATATTTTCAATATCTATTTTGCTTAAACTTAAGCAACAAATCGACTCTGATTATCAATTTTCGTGTACCATTACTCACACACTATATGTAGTCGTAGGTAAACATGGTAATTTGTAGTTCTTAAAATGACTTAATTTACAATGCAAGTCAGCAATTTCAGTAGAGGCAGTACCGACTACATAACAGCTAGAATATTTATTTTGGTAAGTGTTAGCAGGCACTTGTGTTTTTACTAGTTTCGCCAACGGTGTCAGTTCGTTTGTATCATTTCTCGAGCTAATAGAATATGACACGGGTGTAGTACACGGTGATATACGGATAATATGTTTGTATATATGTTATCTACTGTCATACTGCCAATGTGCAGATATTACGTTTATATACTTTGATGAAATGGATTCTAATCATCGTGATACATATCGTGGTAAGTCGGGGTACATAATATCTCCTTTTTTTTCTTTTGAAACAAAATTTAAACAAAGCTGATAACACGACTACACTGTGAAATATTATTAATTTTACTCACGTTCTGTGGCAGGGTCGCCATTGTGGCGTTTGTTGGAGGTTAGCTCAATAAAACAACGTTTGTTGCTTCACGTACACGTGCGATACACGCCCGCTCACGCCACTGTCTCATGACGTCATGGCGGGAACGGCGGGCCGCAGTATGACATATATTTTCATGTACACTGTGTGAATTCACAAGAATGACTCTTTTTATTGTTTGTTATGTTCAAATATAATATAATTTGTAAATATAGGATAATTTATAGAATTTATGGTTAGCACCTACATGTATATATACATATGACATTTTTCTTAGTTTGTAGTATATAAGTCACTTGAGTTGTACTCTATCTATATAACATTGGCTATGCATAGCTGTAAAGGTAGATGTATAGTTATAAATAAATAAATAAATAAATAAATAAATAAATAAATAAATATTGTCTATTGTCTATGGTACATTATGTCAATACACTACAGTGTCCAAAACAGTAAGTTCAAACGGGTATGCAAGGAAGTACAATACAAATAGTTAAGCGAAAATTATTAAAAAAAATAGAGTTGACTTTTGGACTCTAAAACTGTACTTCGACACACGCAACTCCGACAACATGTTACATCGACATTATTTTACTCAGACACTACGTTACATCGCAAACACAGACGAGGTGTTTATTAAAAAAAAATCTTTGTACTCTGATAAGAAAAATCATCATTACAAACCCGTCTAGGAAATGGTTTCTTATTATATATCGATCAATATAACAAAAAAAAAAACAAAATCACATATTCGAAAAATTCTTTTATTAGTTATATAAAGTGTAACAAAAAACTATTAAATTAAAATATAAATTTTTACTACACTATTTCATGTACGTACAAAAACCTAATTACAGTAAACAGAAAAAACATAAATTATTATTTTCGGGACAGAAGAAAATTTGAAATTGCTTTTCGAAGCACAATTTTGGATAATGGATTGGACATTTGAAATAGTATATTTTATATTATTTTAATAATTTTTTTTTGTTTCACTTTATACAGAGTTTTTTTTAATGGGACAATTGGGGAAATCCGAAACCATAGAAGATATAAGAAACTGTCTTAGGAACCATAAAGTTTTTTTTATGAAATCAGTTTCGGCATATTTTTTTTTTAGTCAAGCGTGGATTGTCCATAATAATTAATAAAATTGATCAAAATTTTGTTTAGTGCTGATCGACTCAGAGTTATGAAGGGATCATTTCATTGTGTGGAACGAAAAAATCGGGGCAGCAGAAGTTGATCAAATTCCATAAAATATTTTTCATACAAAATAAATAAAATTGACAATTTTAGTTGTAGTGACACAGTTTTTTTTAATGCTAATAGACTCAGTTTCTTAAAAGGATGACTTTATTGTACTCGAAGAAAAATGTGGGGATAGCAAAGTTGGCCAAATTTAATAATAAAAAATTTTCATTCGCAATGAATAACATTTTCTAAAATTTTACGAACTTCTTCTGTCCCGATTTACTTCGTCCCATACAATGAAATGATCCCTTTATAACTCTGAGTCGATCAGCACTAAAAAATATTTTGATCAATTTTATTTGTTTTTTTGGACAATTCACGCTTGACCAAAAAATTGACTATGCCAAAATTGTTTTCCCAAAAAAAGACGACTTTATGGTTCCTAAGATAGTTTCCTTGTATCTTCAATGGTTTCGGATTTCCTCATACTGTCCCGTTTAAAAAAACACTGTATTTTAATAAAATAAATTTCCGATTACATAATGTTGTCCTTTTATTGTCATAGTGATCGATATAAGAAATCATTTCCTACGTGGGTTTGTAATGATGATTTTTCTTATCAGAGTACAAAGATTTTTTAATAAACATCTCGTCTGTGTTGTCGATGTAGTGTAGTGTCTGAGTAAAATCATGTCGATGTAACATGTTGTCGGAGTAGCGTAGTGTCTGCGTAAAATAATGTCGAAGTAACATATTGTCGGAGTAACGTAATGTCTGAGTAAATTCATGTCGATGTAACATGTTGTCGGAGTCGCGTGTGTCAAAGTTCAGTTTTAGAGTCGACTTTTTGATATGAGTGGTATAGGTTAATCTTCTTTGGTTTTACGTACATAAATTCGGCAATTATAAGTCAAATATAAATATGCATGGCATTTTTTGTTTCCAAATTATGAAATTTGGCCAGAATTGTACGTGGTTTAGATTTGTCCCGTGATAGATCAACACGGCCGGCCCATGCAGTGTCATGAACCTGAACTGGTACCCCCGTGACCGTACCAACCTGTACCATAAGAGTATTAAGGTTTTCAATTGAATGCTCGATTACACCATGCAGCTCCAGGTTTACACATGCGCACTTTCTGTTCGGCTTGGTGATTGCGCACTTTGAGATCATTGATCCGTAGCTGTAAACCAAAGATGAGATTCTTGACACTTTCAAGATCTTTTAATTTAATCTTCCCGGCCTCAACCCGTACTTCCAGATCGCTATGATACAGTGGGTCAGACATATCTTCTTTTGGGCGCATATCTTTTCTAATAGAAATAACCTCGGCACGTAGCTCGTCAATGTTACTAATTAAGGAGGCACCGTCAATGGTAGATTTACTTGGTGACTTGTCCTTCCGACATTGGCAACAATGCCAGTTGCCACAAGGTTTACTGCGGAGACCCGTGCACGACTGGTGACAGAATAGGTCACAAGCACTGCACTTCACCACAGTGCTTATATCAGTACCACTTATTTCACTGAAGCACTTCACACATATTGCCATTATTCTAAAATGTTGGTATTTCTCGAATTTAATGAAAATAATAAACGACTTTAATATTAAAAACAATAATGTTATAAATAGAATCAAAATAATAAAGTCTAAATAATAATAAATCAAAAAATTTAAGCAGTTACAAAATTGCTTGCAGCCCATTAAAAGTTGCGGGTAGTAATATGATAACACGATTCATAATGATTTTATTGTTGATTAAAAATGTTTTATGTTTTGTATGATTTTGAGTTTTGTAGGTGTTTAAAATAATCTCTTTACCCATGTATCTTATTTCATAAAGTGAACTGAATAAAACAAATGAAATTGTACAAGATGGATTTATTTATTCTTAAATGAAATTTTTTGCACTTGTGAGAATTCGAAATATCTTTGGTAATGTTATATACCTAGGCCCGAAACTTTTTTGTGGAACTTATCATTAATGGTTTTGTAAAATATTTAACTCTAACATCAGCGCATTTCCAATGCTCAGAATGATTTGGTATAGTCGCCAACTTCTTCGTATCAAATATTTATATTTTAATGAGATGCGTTGCGGTCTCGCCATCATCTTCATTGGTAGATATGTATGATGTATGGTCCTCGTTGGGACGTAGATGATCGTTTTCGTTTTTTTCTCCTCCGGTTCATTAAAGAACTTATCAATTGTTTCATGCTCCTTTTAAGTTGGTACGCAGAAGGAGGACTGTCATCATCGGAGTCAGGAAAGTACTATTGTTTGAAAGCATTTTTTTCCAAATCCTCAGCACCACCGTTCTTCATACAGTATGTCATCTGTTATCAATAACAAAAAGCAGAAAGAATCATTATAAATATTCTATAATAATTTATAGAATTAATGACAAAGGAAAAACAAAGAAGTTTGCTACTTACATCCATGGTCCTAGTAATGATTGTAGAGTGGTACAACAGTCTTGTAGAGGTATGTAAATGGTACAGCAAGATGGTTTTATACTTCGGTATTATTTGTTATTTGTAAATACGTTACACAAAGTGTACTCGATAAAAACACAAGTACACAAGATGAGAGTAATGGTATCTTAATGTGCTTAATTGACAGTAATTATATTTGTTTTAGAGAGAGTGGTGCGTGACACATGATGAGGCGGAAAGAAAGGAAAAAAGTCACCGCTTTTGTCTTTTTAGGCATTTAAAAAAAGGAAAACAGGGTTTTTGTCAGTGCTGATGTACTTGTCTAAAACTCTCGAATCCCCACCACTCACGGGGTAAAGATTGCCTAAAGAAGCCCGGTATTGTATAGAATGACTAGGTTTTCTATACAATCCCTGAATTATACACATGGCCTTTCAAGGTAATTTGTAAAATACTAACAATGTCCTAGGACTATAATATATTAATAATATCATAAACAACGTGTCTTCCATGACTTTTAATAATTCATCCAGATTATACGTTCGTACGATTTAAATAGATCACTCTAAACTAGCCTTTCCCGAAGTGGGCGATAACGCCCCCAGCATAGGCGGTAAGAGACCCAGAAAAAAATGGGGGCGTTGTGTAGAGGCTTAGGGGGAGATTTGTAATTTCATCTAGGAAGACTCTTACATACCGACTGAGCTCTCGACTCTCGAGTACAACTTGTGAACATCAACTAATATTAATTAAGAGATTGCTCACACTCGGTTCGATATTTCTCTCCGTGTAGTTCATATATCTGTCCTGTTTTATTGAATAAATAAAACAAAACTCGTGTCAATCGGGCGCTCCGTTTCGAAATGAAAGTAGACACAAACAAATAAATAAAAATGCAACAGACACAGTTTCGCATTTTAATAGTTATTAGTATTCCTAGATAGGTAATTTTCGTAGATAATAGACCGCGGGCACTCATGTTTTAACAAGTTTTTGTAAAAGTTAAATAACCCGATTTGTGCATTCCTGTATCAATCGGCTGGTTCATAGAATACTTGTTCTTAATTGTTGAGTACGATTGAGCGTCAAATGAGATAAACAAGTTTATGCATGTTTGTCTTATTCCTGTCAGTGCGTGCTGCTTATGCAATCCTATATAAACAAAGTAACACTTACTTTATTTTCATTTGCGTTTTCGCGCGTAATAGATAAGCAGTACCTAAGTTCAACACTTTCTTACGTATTTCTTAAAACAAAACAATGTCGGAAGTAAAAAAAAAGAGACGGCAATATTGTGCGGAATATATTAAATTCGGATTCATTGAAAATCCCACAAACCCATCGTCGCCTTTGTGCCCTCTATGTCTAGAAACATTTTCGAATGAAGCAATGAAGCCTTCAAGACTGCAAGATCATTTGAATACGAGTAAAATGCATCCAGATAAGAAAGACAAGAATGTAGCATATTTTCAAGACTTGGAGAAGAAGCATAATACTCAGCCAAGTGTAGCAAAACTCTTTTCGGCGGCTGCTAAGCAAGATGACGATGGACTTCGAGCTTCGTACAATATCTCTTTGTTAATTGCTCAAAAAGGCAAACCACACAACATCGGAGATGAGTTAATTTTGCCAGCAATAAAGGAAGTAATAACTACTGTGCTTCATAAACCGGCCGCAGATATTATCCGAAAAATTCCTTTGAGTAATAATTGTGTGCAAAGACGAATTGATGAAATAGCTGAAAACATTGAAGAATGCAATGCAATCATTCATCTGAGGACTAGTCAATTCTCAATTGAGGCCATGAGAACCATAGTGGCCTAACTCATTTTTTTACAATATTGAGTTTATGATTTTTTCCAGTTCAAATTGATCATTTTGATAGAACCAGAAAGGCCTAAAAGTGATACAACGAATTTTCACTAGATGGCAGCATAATCATTGTTATGGTTTTTAGTCTGTGATCTAAATTTGAGGTGCCATACTGGCCTAAGTAAGATAGGCCACTATGGCTTGTCCATTGAATTAGGCCACTATGGTTCTCATGGCCTCAATTCAGCTCGTGAGTCCACTTTACCAAGTGATGAAACATTGTTGCTGTTTTACGTGAGGTTTATTAAAGATGAGAAAATACGTGAAGAACTATTGTTTGCTAGAAATTTAGAGACCGATACAAAAGGCGAAACCATATTCAATACATTGGAAAAGTTTTGTGATGAGAAAGAGATTCCCTTGAAAAATATTGAATCATTTGCTACGGATGGCGCTCCGGCTATGACAGGATGCCATAAAGGCTTCATAGCGTGCTTAAAAAAATAACATTCCAGATGTCCTTGCAGTACATTGCGTTATTCATAGAGAACATTTGGTTGCTAGAAATTTAAGTGAACGACTATTTCAATCACTGCAATATGTCATCAAAGCAGTCAATGAAATCTGTAACAGCTATATAGATTTTAAGACTTTCGTGGTTATTTCGTGGTTAACTGCCTCCGTGGCCGAACGGTTACCATGCCTGCCTGCCACGTAGAGGTCCCGGGTTCGATTCCCGGGCCGGGAGAAATATTTGTATGGCCTACATTTATTTCTCTCGTGTGTTTGGGTGTAATTTGTGTTTGTCTATGTACGTGTCCATGGCACCCGCGACACAGGGTTTCCCTAGTGCAGGGCTATGTTGAGTGTGTGCGTTATTATTATTATATTCATTAAATGATTATGACTAGTATCAGGTTTCTTACCACGGTATGACTTCTTTATATTTTTCCGATATTTCGGAAGGTTGCACGCTTCATGGTCACGGGTTGACTGGACGGCGGCTGTAACAGCTCTTTGAATGATAGATTATTTCATCAGCTTTGTGCTACTAATGACGAAGATTTCAACCGTTTGTTGTTTCATAATGAAGTTCGTTGGCTATCAAGAGGCAAATTGTCTGACTCGATTTTACAACCTGTTTGACTCTGTGATAGAGTTCTTGGAAACTAAAGATACAGAATTGCGCAACAAGCTCATTACGTCAGAGAATGATATAGCTTACATGACAGACCTGTATAAATTGTTCAACGACATGAATCTCCAACTGCAAGGCGATGAACTAAATTTAATTAAAACAAAAAATGTCGTTGATGCTTTCGCAGCCAAACTGCTTCTTCACAAAAAGAATATGGGCAGACGTGAGTTTCACAATTTTCCGAATTTATCAGTATCCTGCAGTTACGACGACTTGTTTGCCTACGGCCAACATTTGGAAAACCTCCACATTGACTTCACCGAACGATACCAGGATATTTTGAACTTGGAAATACCAGACTGGCTGTTGGATCCGTTTTCAAATGTCAACACAGCAATATCACCTCAACTGGAAGAAGAACTTATAGAATTGACAACGAACGAGGAAATAAAAATCAAGTTCAAAAATGGCTACCAAGAATTTTGGCTACAAAAACAGATCCCGCAATTGTACCCTGGATTGTGGTCAATCGTTCAACGATTCTTGATAGCATTCCCATCGTCACATTTGTGTGAACGTGGTTTGAGTGCTGTTACAACGCTGCTTACTAAAAAGAAAAATCGTTTGCATGTTACCGAACGTGGTGACTTGCGGCTGTTCTTGAGCAAATTGGAACCTGATATCAACAAACTTATTAAACAGCATCAGATTCATCCGTCACATTAGTTTTTATATTAGAATCGATTATGTTTGTTTTATTTTGAATAAAAGATACTCTGTCTGAATGCTATAAATTTGCGTTTCAATAATCATTCTCATTGGCAGGTGTAGCCCGTAAGAGTTAACTTGAGACCTGAGCGCCGTTGTGTACTACCTACTGCGCTCAGGTCTCAAGTTAACTCTTGCGGGTTATAGTAAGTCTCGTTTAGAATGAATGTTTAATTTCCGCTAATATAGCTCACAATAATTAATTTAATTTGAAGTTATTGTGGTTTTTAAGTAGGTGAAAAAATGGGGGCGCTAAAAAATAATTTATTCTCAAAGTGGGCAGTAGACAAAATAAGTTTAGGAACCCCTGCTCTAAACGGTGATAACTCTTGGCGGTAACAAGAGAATGTGCCCCCACATTCTCTTGTTACCGCCATTGTCGTCGCGGAGTACACTTACACGTTTGATCTCATTTGATCTAAAAAGTGTCAGATAGTACAACAAAAACTTAAAAGTTTATTTTTGTAAATTCACAACGTTTTGTAAAAAGTCGTGGAACAAAAGTTGTTTGTTGTTTGTGGTATTTGTAATATAGTCCAGCGAGGTTTTTAGTATTTTATAAATAACCCCGTATAATATACCTACCTAAATAAAATAACATACATTTATTTTAATTTATTTTTAGGTGTATTTATTTCTGGTGGTACAATTACTGGCAGAAGCAGGAATTTTGTGGATGTTTATTTCCGTTCGTGAAATATACGTTCTTTTATCAAAGAGACAAAATGCAACTTTGTAAGTTTTACACACAAATACGTTTTTAGACACTCCCTAGTTTTGAAACCAGGCTACAGTACCCAGGACACTCATTTATAATTTTTGTATACACCATTTTCACAGATTCGTAGCCTTTGCAATCCCATTCTTTACTTACGTTACGCTGAGTTACTGGTCTGTGTCGTTGCAACGCAAAGTGCCATTCAACTACATATTTCTCTTTATTTGGACGCTGCCCATTGGTTTCACATATGGATGCTTCTCAAACTACAATGGAATCGACACCACAGTAAGTACCTATACCTATGGCTCTTTATCCCTAGAGTTCAATTCCCAGTTCGGAATTTATTCAGTACCAAATTACATTAAGCAAAACTGACACCTCACTTTTTAGCCCTAAAGACTCCTTCGTATCAGACGCTTATAGAAGCGCTGCAGTGGCAACACTATTAATTTCCTTACAAAATTTAGAAGCACAGTTGTAACTGTCGCCGCTATCGTGACATGCGCGCGCCACTTTTGCAGTTACAATTGAGCTCAGGCCACACAGAGATGGTATAGAGGGAAAAAGGGTCCGGGACGGTCCTGCGGGAAACGAATGCGTGCCGGGGCATGCCACACACCAGTCCCAAACGTAGTTCCCGGCGGAATAGCGGAGCGAAGGCGGCCAGAGTGACACCAAAAGCAGCTACGTTTCATTGTCTACACAGATTTTAAGGAAAGCACCACATCGCTGTCGGATAAAGATCAAGAAAATTTCATAGCAGTTGCAGTGCCACCCAGAGCTTTACATCGCAAAGATTTGAGGGGCTCTGTCACTGCACCCGCCACGCTGAGATACAAATTTGTAATGTAACATATTCCCAGGGTGCGGCCGGGACAAGTACACTATGGTTTACCTATAGAAATTATCCAAGATTCTATAACTAACAAAAGAAACCAACACCAAGTTTTAACATTGATCGGTTTACAATAAGTAATAAATGCACCTCTTAACTATACTGGAA